TATATATATATATATATATATATATATATATATATATATATATATATATATATAATTTATCATCTTCTTTATCCAATCATCTGTCAATGGACATTTAGGTTGCTTCCATGTCTTGGCTCTGTAAATAGTGCTGCTGTGAACATTGGGGTGTGTGTATCTTTTCAAATTAGAGTTTCCTCTGGAAATATGCCTCCAGTGGGAGATATTTTAAAAGTTCCATGCTCAAAAACTTGTTAGTGGAAGCCCACTCTATGAAGGCTCTGTTCTAGGCACTGCAGATGCAGCCATCAGCAGAACACGTGGAGTTTTCATTGTAATGGGGAAGACACTGCATGAGACACAGAAGTAAAATCTATTGCTTGCTACTGGGTACTTTGTCAGGAGACAAAAATAAAGACAAACACGGCCACTGGATGTGTGAGGGGGTTGAAATGTTGGATGGCATAGCAGGAAAAGATCTTACTGAGGAGGGGACATTTGAGCAAAACCCTGAGTCTTTATAAATAAATATATACTTAAAGAATATTAGAAGTGTTAAAAGTAAATAGAACATTTTGCATGATGCCATATGCCACAAAGAAAAAAGTCATGGAATAAAGAACATATTATTAAGCTCTTTTGGCTGCAGGCGATGTGATCCAGAGTGACATGGCAGACAACACTTGAGATGAGGCCTCCCTAGGGAGGTGACAAGTGGCTGAGACGTGACAAGGTCGAGGAAGGAGCTGTTCAGGCAGAGGGAACAGCAGAGGCAAAGGTCGTGGTGCAGGGACACAGCCTTGGCTTGATCCGCTGGGGGACAGGGGAGGGGCGTGCCGAGGGAGGGTGATGAGGGACAGGTGGGGCCAGGGCCTCACAGGTTGCATTCTCTGAGCACTGGGAAGCCCTAGGGGGGTTTGTGCATGGGCCTGCCCGCCTGGCTGCTTTTTAAATAAAAATTGCTTTGGTTACTGGATGGAGAATGGATTATGGCAGCAAAAGTGGAAACAAGGAGAATAGGAGAGTGTGGCAGGTGTCCTTGAGATGCGCTGGCTCGGACTGCGGTCCTGGTCATAGAGAGGAGAAGTGGACAGGGCAGAGGTGAGAGGACTTGATGATGGATTAGATGTAAGAGTCAGAGAGAGAGGGGACTCAAGGGCAACTTCGGGTTTTTGGTTTGACTAACAGAGGAGTCAGCTGTCAGCCCTGCTGGAAAACAACAGATGCAGAGCTGCAGAAATTTTCCAGACCCAGGAGAAGCCGACAACACCTTTTTGGAGGGGACAGTGCAGTCACTTGTGTATGACACTCACACGGAAACTAACACATCTAGAGATAAAACAAGTATGCTTTGCTCTGAACTAGAGGTGGCAACCACTCAAAATCCAGATGCTCAAATTCTTCCTATCTCCTCCTGAAAACCATACTAATTAAATTTGTGTTAATTAAATTTGTGAAAGATGAATGCAAAGAAGTTCCTCTTATCCGTGGTACAGTACAGATCGGGGTCAGCAGACAACAACTGTATCATTTCCATCAGCCCAAGCATGTAACAGTCCTGCCTTTATGATCTTCTCTCTCATCTGTAGCTTGGTAGCTAACTTTTCTTCATATTTTTAAAATAGCACATCATGTTGCTTTCCTTTATTTTTTATCCCTGATAGAAAGAAAATTTTAATTTGTCTTGAATTGACTTTAAAGTATGTCCCAAAGTCACCTTTTGATAAATATTTGGGGTAATTGCAAATATAGCGTGTCCTGGGACATTTATCCCGTGTGGGAACTTCCTCCAGTGTGAAGATGATCTGGCTGAGAAGAGAAGGAGCAACGAGATTCTGCGCCGGGCCATCGAGACCTACGAGGAGGTGGCCAGCCTGCCCGACGTCCCCGCAGACCTGGTGAAGCTGAGCCTGAAGCGGCGGTCAGACAGACAACAATTTCTCGGTAAGATGAAATAAGAACCAATCAGTAGCGAATGGTGTGCTTTCAGGTTGAGAAGCTGTGCGTGCTTTTGGAAGAGTTCAGTTACATGGAAGGAAACCTGAGTTTTATCACTAATTTCAGGCAATTTATCTGATTGGGTCAGACTGAAATAGTAATCCTAACCTTCATAATTACAGAGATGCAGACGGTATATTTGCTGCCTTCCCACCCCACACACACTTTACAGATGAAGCAAATGGAATTCGGAGAGGTTGGGGTATTTGCGTAAGGAGTCATAGCGGATGAAGGAGTAGGTCTGGAATCAAAAACTTCCTGCCGTGCTGAGTTCTTTTCTCTTTTAACTATCACCAACTGATTCATGGAGGCCGAAACCATCAGCGGAACAATTTTTATAGAGGAATGTTAGCAGTTCTAAGCCCTCTAAAAATTTTACCTGTGAGTTTTTTGCTCTCTACTAAAGAAGATGATAGAAAAAATAATTTAATGACTAATGCTTTGAAAAGGTCAGCACAAAGCACCTTCTCTTACTGACTCGGGTTCCCAGTGCCAAAGGCAGGTAGGACTAACCGTATCCTAACTTCATTATAACCAGGCCAGTGACTGATTCTTTCTCACCCAAAATGCCATTGGTAAGCCAGGACGAAGGGATCGAAGCCCTGTATAACTGCTAAGGTGGGCTCTCTGCTGGCTGGGTGAGTTACATAGACCAATTATCTTGATGTCACCAGGAAAGGCTCATAAAAGTCATATTCAACTGAGCCTCATATCAACCCTTCTGAGGGTTGGAGTTAAAGGCAGTGTGTCCCTTTGGTAGATGACTGAAATCTGTGCTAGGAGTAGAACCCACATGATGATTAGAAACGAGAAGAAATGATCCATTAGACTTATATTCATAAAGGCCAGTCCAGGGCAAGAAAAGCATACAGCAAGCACACACGCAGGATGGAGGCACTCGCCTTGGGCGCAAAGTCAGTGTGACGGGGTCGTCCTCTTTCCTCGGGCTCTGATGTGGCTCTGTTTAGCACTGTGAATTTTGTATATTAATTTTGATCTTTAAAAAGAATGCATAAAATATCACCCCCTTGATCACTGGATGTTTGGTGCCCTCTTAAACTTGGCACCAGGTGCCTCACTTGCCTATTTCCAGGCCTGGGGAAAGACAACCCTTTCTTCAAAACAGTCCTTCAGTATTTGAATGTCATCTTAACTCCCAGTGAGAATCAGGCCAGTTCGCAGAGGAGGCGCTGAGGGACTTGTGCACAAAGGTGGCGGTGAAGTTGCTGGTGGTGCAAAGCGGAGAGGACGGGGAGGGCACGGCGGAAGGACCAGTTCTCACCTGGTTAAACAGGGGAAGTTCAGAAGCGGAAGACAAGTCTGAGCCTAAGTTGGGCGGATGGGGAGGAAGGGTAGAGAGGTGGAGAATTCAGATTTATTAGCAAAGGAGCGAATGGCTGAGCAAACCATCCCTGATTGGCCAGTAATGGGGGGGAGCAGGTGGTGGGGTAAGTTGGTGGTGTTTAAGCCAAAGGGTGTTTCTGTTAGAGGGGCATCCAGCTGCATTAGCTTACTGCTGGTCCTACTGGATCTTGGCTGATTTTCAGCTGGTGGTCACCTACGCCCTTGAGGTAATTAATTTGGTCATGTACACTCGTCCCATTTTTGTCTTTCTAGCTGTGGTGTGGAGTAATGACAGTTGGCCCCTGAAATCTTAAATTTCCATCAGACGGCCTGAAAAATGAACTGAAGCTGGGGTTTTCATGATTCATGTGTGCATAGCATCCTGTCGGCCACCAGAGGGCCCCCTAATACCGGATGATGTCTGCTTTGCTCCAGAACGAGGTCCTTACCGAGAGATGGAGCGATGAGGACCTGTTAATGGGAAGCAGGGTCAGCACAGGACCTCAGTGCCTCTCCAAGTTTCACACGGGGAGCTGGACCCTGAAATTTATTAGACTTTGTATTTGCCTGCTCTGTATTCCTAAGTTTAAAGTTAATCGTAATAAACCAAAAATGTTCCAGTAAAACATTTTTAAAACGAGGAATTGGTAACTAAAGCTTTCTTAAGAGGGAATTTGACATAAAAAGGTAAATGTTGACAAATTTAGAAAATAAGGATGTCTTTAAAATATTTGTGATCTGTATTATGTTCAGTATCTACTGATGGGAGTGATTAACACCGTTGCAGCTGCTTAATGAGATCCTAATGGGTACTTAACCATCAGAAGATAGAGTCAGATTTAAGCTGGTCTTCAGGCTCTGTTGAATTGTCTCTTATGATTTGTAGTATTGTATTGATACAAAGGTGTGCGTCATCTGCTTTTATTTCTTTTCTTTTTTTATTTCCACCAAATCAGGACACATGAGAGGTTCCCTGCTTACTCTACAGAAATTAGTTCAACTATTTCCGGATGATACTGCTTTAAAGAATGACCTTGGAGTTGGGTACCTCTTGATAGGAGATTATGACAGTGCCAAGAAGGTTTATGAAGAGGTAAGCAAGCAGCGATTTTCTGTTAACTACGTCAAGTAATTTTGAACATGAAGTTCTAATGTTCTTTGTAAATTACATTTAGTCTGCCCAGTCTCTCTCTCTGTCTTTATTTTAAATTAAATCGAATTTAAGTATTATTATAGTGACATATCCTAAATTCTGTTTCATCCCTTTTTTTACCTTCATCGAAAGATTTTAAATTTTAATTGACACTTGATATATCAAAACCTTCAACCTATCTCTATTTGCAAAATTTTAAAAACTTATATATTTATCCGTCCACAAACAGCCTTTCTAAAAGAGTTCTTTATGATAGGAAGAGGAACTCAAAAATTTATGAACTTAAAGTCATGAACTTAAAACCACATAAACTTTTACTATATAATCTTTTACTTTTTTCACTGAACGTCCAAGCTAGAGAGACCACTGGACTGCAGAACATAAGCCTTTCCAGCATCTGGAGTAAATTACTCACCTTTCAGAGAGCACTGACTATTTGATCCTCTAGCAAGGATACCTTTAAAAAGATGTCTCCTTGATAATGGATGCTTTAATCAACAACGGCTTAGTCACAAGTAACTATATAGTCTAGAAAACGGTGACTCCTTCAAGCAGGGGGGGATGTCATTTGGTACAGAATAAATAAAATGCCAAATGAACTTTGAAGCTGGAGCAAGTTGATATCGCTGTAAAAGAAAGATAAACACAGTTACTTGCTGTTTTCTAATTTAGACCTTGGGATCAATAGTTTTCAAGCTGGTGCATTTTGCAACAAAATGCTGCTAGTTGGTAGAGGTGATATGATTCCTTCTCTTTTCAAAGTGCTGTGGAGTGTGGTGATTTTCTGCTCAGTCTAAGGACTGGGTGCCCCCACAAATGGTGATTTCCTCCCTTTATTGCTGTTGGTCCCGTGATCAAATTTCAGAGCGGTTGTCTTTTGACCTTTGTCCTAATTTTTAAATTTTCTGAGAGAGCGGGAATAAGACCTTTACTGTTTATAGCGTCTCTAATCTCTGCTCAGAGTGGATTGAGCTTCCAGTGTTGCAAATTTGTGCCACGTGCTAAAGTAACCTGTTACAGGTCATAAAACGAGTTCATATGGGACATTGTATTTGCTGATAGCTAAGACAACACACTGAGTGCCCTGTCTCATCATGTTATCTCAGTGATCTGGGAACATGTGAATGTACGAATTGTCAAACTGTATCAGACGTACTTATTACTCTAACATTGTTGCAAGCCACAAAGGTGAAATTATAGAATTTCTTCCTTCCTCCCCAAAATACCCTGATCAAGTGTCTACACGGTGCCAAGCACGTCAGAGGTCCGGGCAGGACCTGAGAGCTCCCTGGCTTCTTTCAGCCACTGTGGATTTGTCCTCCACCTTCTCCAAACCTGCCTTGAATGTAATATAGTTGTTCTTTTTACTGGATGCTGAGTCTCAGCTATGTGAAGCATTTTACCTCATCTTGAAAAATAAAACTTACCTGCTGTGATTCATACATTCGAAATCATAATCTCACCGGAATGAGTGTAACAGGAGGCGGAGAATCTGAAATACAGCTTATGAGACAACCGAGCGGGTTTCTTTTTGAAGAAGCATCAGTAGCCTGAGGACAGGTGTGGGGTTTGCCTTTTGTTTACTCCCCTCAGTGCTAAGTTGATAAGCCGTATCTAATAGATTCTCTTTCCTTAACCAGAGTTCATCCTGATAGGCTTATGTCCCAGTCGAAGAGCATTGGCAGGAAACTGATAGTGTAATTTTGTCTTTTTCTTCATGTTGATTTTTATCTTTGAGGAAATTTTTAAAAATCATTGATAATTCCCTTTCTGGCTTTCTTGTTGTTTTGTTTTGTTTTGTTTTTGCTGCTTTTAGTTTCAACAAAGACTAACTGAAGGTACCTTGGCCACATCCCTGTCTTTTGGAGGCTCTCCTGGGCGTCCCTCCACGTTAGTGACACTACCGGTTACCTGAGACATGCAGTCAAAAGTTCAGCCTCTTCCTGATTCTGTCCCCCCCCCTCCACACTCTTCAACACATATCCATTCTCTTAGTCAACGCATATTCATTGAAACCCACACACACTAGCTTGGGCAATGGTAGTTAAGGAAACAAACACAGTATGCCCTCATGGAGTTACAGTCTGGTACCAAATCACTAATTTCTATCATTTTTACCTCCTCAGTATCTTTCAAATCTCATCCCTCTTAACCCAGGAACTCATTGTCTGCCTTAAGTAGGGCAGACCCACCCAACGCGGGCTTGCTCTCCTGGGACCTTCAGCAACACAAAGTGCAGATCTGACCAGCCCACCCTTGGCTTCAGCTCTTTAGCGGCTCCCACTGACCACAGCCTTGGTCTTCAGACGTGCTCACTTGTGTCCCCTTGCGGTCAAAAATGTCCAAGCAAACACCCGGGATACGCACGCTTGCGTATTTATATATTATATCTGTGTGTATTTGTACCAATTTGTGATGTTCGTTGTAAAAGGTACACACTGTCAAATGGGTTTTAACACGAAATGAAATTTTTCGAAGACTTTTAAAATTTCATTTGACTGCCAAGAATATGTTCACTCTGAAAATATTGTAATTTAGTAATATCAATGTGCAGTACTATTTATGATTATATGAGTTTTTTAGTCCTGGTAACACATCACACAGAGTTTGTCCTGGAACTGGAAATGCCAGCTCTACCAGTTTGTTGCTGTCTGTGCCGTGTGTGTGTGTGTGTGTGTGTGTGTGTGTGAAGAGAGAGAGAGAGAGAATCTGTGTAACATTTTAGTATTAATCCCAATTTGGGTTTCTTGGAAATCTTATAAAGCCTCTTGCCATTTTCTGAGGGTTTGTTGATTACAACTAGATAACACAGCCTGTGCATCCATTATGTAACGCATGTAGACTGTAGTAAGCACGGTAGGTGAGCATAAAGAATGAAGCCGGGGCGGGGGGCGGGCAGCCCTGTCCATCACTCTGGGTCCTGATCCAGCCCACCCTCCCCTCACAAGGGCAGGCGTGTGAGTGGGACGTGTGACTGTTCGCCATGCAGCTTGGAGGCGAGCCCTGGAGCGTCTGTAGTAAATATTACATTTCAGAGACAATGCAAGTAGGGCGCTTGTCATATCTTTCCGCTCCCCAGAGGATTATCTGCACGTGACACAAAACAGGGCCTTCCATGGTTTGCCTCCTGTCCGCTTCTCCAGTCTCATTCCCTTTGCTGTTTCTGACCCACTGTTCCTTTTTACTCACTTATCCTGTGCCTTGAATGCCTCCCTACAAAGTTCTCCATCTTCCTTTTCCCCAGTGAACTCCTATTCATCTTTAAATACCTTTCTGAACTTGCCCCGCCACCCCCACCCTAGAGTGAGCTAGACGTCCTCTACACACTGCAGCCTCGTGCCAGTCACTCTGCTTGCACTTCACCACACGTTCTGTTGTCTGCTTGTGAGTCTGTCTCCCTCCCTTGACGCAGAGCTCCCTGAGAAGAGAGAGAGTAAATCTCATTTATGTTGATATGTCCAGAGCCTAGAAAAGTTCTGTGCGTTCTAAAATATCTAGTAAATTAATACATCAGCTAATGGCTTGAGCTGATGCCTGTGTCTACAGCAAACAGAAATGCCGCCTGTGTCGCTGCAGTCATTGTAATAATCCCTTCATGATGAGTGAAGAGCTGTGATCGGCCTCAGTGCAGTTCAGGCCCAGAAGGATTTACTGGGCTTGCTCAGCATCTGGCTGTGGAAGGTACAGAATAAGCAGAGTCCGCGCTTTCAGAGGTCCCGCCGGGGAGTGGCGAGGCCGAGCCCGGTGGGCACCCAGCCCTGTAGTTAGTGCGGATTTCTCCGCGGCCCGTCGTGTGCCGGGCACTGTTCTCGGCACTGGGGCTCAGCAGTGGGTGCAACAGACAAAATCTCCGTAGAGCCTACAGCTCTGTGGGGGAAAGCAAAATAAATCAGATGGTGATGAGTGCTACGAAGAAAAAGGAGTCAGTATAAAGAAGTTAGGAAGCGACAATGATGGGAGTGGAGGGTCTGTTTTATATCAGGTGATTGGGCAGAGGCTTCACTGAGATGGTCCTTTGGGCAAGGATTTCCTCAAGGTAAGGGAGTGGGCCACCTGGATGTCTGGGAGAAGAGGGTTGGAGGTGAAGGAGTACTGTGGGTGCAAAAGTCCTGGGGCAGGATTGCCTTTGACTTGGGATGCAACAGGAGGGAGTCCAGGGTGCCTTGGCTGGTGGGGGAAGGTAGCAGAGGAGACCAGAGGAGTAAGAGGCCCAGCCCCAAGGGAGGTCTCAGAGGCTGTTCCTAGAATTTGGTCTTCCTCTCAGTGAAAGGAACCCATCTGGGTTTTGCGTAGAGGAGGGATGAGGTCTGACTTTGGACTTAGTAAGTCCATGCAGGACCCATGTGGAGAATGGGTTACAGGAGAGTGGGGCTGGGAGTGCAGGAGGCTCCTGGAAGAAGGCAGAGGAGAGATGAAAGACTTGGACCAGGTTGGCAGCAGTGGAGGAAGTGACAAGGGGTATGATTCAGAATATATTTTGAGTCTAGCACTGGCTGGGTTTGCAAATGGATGAGGGACAGGCACAGATACAAGACAGAAAATGCTAAAATATCAGCGGTGTGGACTGTGGACTCACCAAGGGTATGGGGTCCCTGCCTGGCGCACGTGCCCCTTCTATGTAAAGATCCCACAATCCCCTTCCCTCCTCAGACTCAGGGATGAAGGGAAGCTCCAGGAATTCATCTCTTCTCTACACGCATTCAATTCAGACCTTCTTCACCTCTCACTTTTGTTCTGTAAATTAGTTTGTCTAAGCAGCTTCACAAGTTGAATGTTGCCGTTTGGATTTCTCACTGCTCATTTAATTTAGAGGCATTTTGCATAATTAATCTTTACTCATAATCAATGCATAAGATAATAAACAATATTAACCTAGGTTTTATCATAGAATGTTGGATTTGCTCACCACTTCATCCTCAGTCTTTAAAATGGTCTGGGTTTTCAAGAAATTCATGCTGAATGAATGGATCATGATATGTTTTGAATGCTTATCTAAATTTTCTCATAATTAAGGCAATGTATGAAGCATGTGTATGAAGCAATGTATAATAACCATTCAGAGTTGACCTTAAGCATAGATAATGTAAAGCTGTTTTTCTTTATCACTGAAAAAAATTGAGGTCATAAAATTGATAGAGATTTTGCTGATTTGCGTTGTTAAAGCAATGGTTTCATGGTCATTGCCTTGTCATTCATTTCTTCATTCTAGGAGAACTAGTGTGTAGAAGTGGAAACTTTTTGAGTTGAGGGGAAATGGGGCCATTTAAGGCAAATGAATTGCAATGAGACAAAACTCTATAGCCTTTTAAGCTGTAACATCATAATATAGTCCAAGTACAGCAAAGTTAATTAAGATGTGTTTTGACAGTCATTTGTTGAATTCAGAGTCCATCACAATAGCTTTTTGTTTTCTTTGAGTTTAGGTTCTGAATGTGACGCCCAATGACGGTTTTGCTAAAGTGCATTATGGCTTTATCCTCAAGGCGCAGAACAAGATGGCGGAGAGCATTCCCTACCTAAAGGTCACTCCCTCCCATCCTGTCTTTTCCTCTTCCAATCCCTTTGAGTCATTTAGACACTCTTGACTATGCATTGGAGATTGATTGGCTGGCATTGCTGTCTTTTTAGCAACCAAAATATACACCCTCTGAACATGACATTCATTGGCAGTGTGGACCTTCAGCATAATGAGACTGTCCGATGTAGACGGAAACTATGTGATTAGAGACTATTTGGAAAAGCTTTTATGAAGAGAGTCCTAAAACTGCAATTGTTATTAGTTGATCGAATACTTTAAAATATGTCCAGTGCATTAGTTCCTTTTACATTTCAATTATACATCAAAACTACTTTGAACAGGGTTCATGGTAACCTATACAAAGTGAGGTAACAAATGCAGACTGAATAGGCCAAATCCTCAAGAGCCTCATACCTTGAAAAACTCAGATTAAAATATGCTGTCATTTTTTTTCTCACAAATATAGTTGAATCCTCATCGGTTCACCAGAATCACATTTGGTCTAGCTCAGGGCTGTCCAACAGAACTTTCTGCCACAATGGAAATGTTCTTTATTTGTACTCTCTAATATGGTAACAAGTGACTACTGAGCATCTAAAATGTGGCTAGTGTGGCTGAGGAACTGATTTTTTAATTTTAATTTTCATTAATTTTAATTTAAATAGTAACATTTGCTAGTAGCTACCCTATCATTTGCTTGAATACCTGTGAACTTTAAGTTGCACTTCTATAATCCACTTTTGTGATCTCTTTCTTTCACAAGACTTCAATCAGAGATCCCAAATAGTGACCTACTGATTGCAGATTGCTTGCAAGTTCTATCCAGCCAACATAATTCTCTTAGTTGAGCATCTGAATATTTTGCATAAAAAGGAAGATTTTTCGTTTCTCTGGGAAGGTGATATCTGGACCACAGAAGCTGAGCAGTGGTGTCCCCTTGAGGTGGGCGTGCACCGCTCAGTCTGTCTTGGCTGTCACTGGGCCTCTGCAACCTTCATGTTCCCTCCCACGACCCTGTGGGCACGTGGGTGTCTCTGATTTAAAGTGTTTCTCTTAGACTTCCTTTGACATAATAAAAAAGGCCTAATTGTACTGTCCTGGCTCAGAGATGAGGACGCAGAGGGAGGAGTTGGTTAGCTAATGAGCAGGGACATTTATGTGAGCATCTGTCAGTCAAGAGCCAGGACCACAGCTCTCCTCTCCTGGGTGATGCTTCTGTTCCTTGCCGCTGTTTTCCAACCTCATGCAAATAAAATTTCTCCCGAGTAAAAGATAATGGGCTTCTTGCAAAGAGGCCTCAAAGATGCAGATTCTGAGACATTTAAATATGTCTTCTCTTTGTCCTTCTTTTACTTTCCTAAATTCATTCTCTTGCTTTAGTATTTTCTCTCTTCTTCTTGTTCTTACAGAAACTTAAATTTCAGTTCTTCTGTGGGTGCTGGGGATAGAAATCAGCTAAGTGTTTTAGAATAGAAGTTGTTTAATAACAATTATAGTTTCAAAGATCCCAACTGGCTTTACTCCTGTTGTATGTTCTGTAAAAGATTGCACTGAAAAGTGAAGACACATTTGTTTTGAGCGGGGAAAAAAAAACATTACTTGCAGTTGGGTCTCTATCATTTCAAACCTCTATGAGCAACTAAACATTCTGGTTCAGGGATAAGAAAGCCTCTAGATGACATATGGTCAGATCTGGAGAGCAGAACAAATGTGATAGAAACCCGGCCAAGGAAATTCTCTGGGATATTGAACTGTGACTGCTCTCACAGAGACAATTCACAGAGCATCAGACCAATTGTATGGGCTATTCCACTGTTAATGGATGATGAATGTATTTTTAAATTTAACTTTATCCCATCTTTTTGGTTTTGCATTGTAAACGTTGACCAGTAACCTAATTGCCAAACTTTAATATTGAGATGGATTTTCTGGTTCTTAGATTTTAGTATGGTAAATGAAGATTAACTAAGTCAATGAATTAAATCTGATATTTAATTCTTTGGTAAACACTAACACTGTCCTTCCTGCAGGAAGGAATAGAATCCGGGCATCCCGGCACTGACGACGGGAGATTCTATTTCCACCTGGGGGATGCCATGCAAAGGGTTGGGAACAAAGAGGTAAGGAGTTGGTGAGGCTTCTGTTTTCTTTAACAGAAGATAGAGGAGCAGGGAAATTATTCCTATGAGAAAGTTACAATTAAAAAAATATTTTGAGCATAAACTTTTGAAGGTGGTGATTTAAACTTTTTTAAACAACCCAGCTGTTCCTGCTGAATCCTATAAAGAATTTTTGGGATTTGACTTTTATAATTTCTTTCAAGAAAGTATGTGAATAATCATAAGAGCAGCCTCATATGTATGTGTGTGTGTGTGTGTGTGTGTCTATGTGTATCTGTGTGTGTGTGTGTGTGCACGCTTCTGGGTATATATCTGTGTGTGTAGCTGTGTGTGTGTTGCCTTGAAAAAATTATTTTTTAAATTATGAAATGAAGAACTGTCTTTGAAGCTGTTTAAATATTTTAAAAATATTTTAACCATTTACCTCGATTTATTTTTATTTGGTTTTGGAATTTAAACAGTAGTTATTTTTTTAGAATGAAGTCTTCACTCAACTGTTTCCTAAGCACACTGAACCCAGTGGTTAATTAATTGTGTCATTTAACTTCTGCAGTATTTAATGCCAAGTTTAAGATGAACTCCTGGAGCTATGGTAATGACAGAAAATATAGCAGCTAAAACACGTCACGTTTTTCTTTGTGATTATTCCTTTTTTTCTGAACACAGTGTCCGTTTCTTTAAACATGATCTTGATTGTTAATCATGACATCATGCCCTGTAAATTCCCAAACGGTCACCATCCACTGTGGTTCACATAACATTCCTGGGCCCGTCCTCACCATCACCCGACTCTAGGCCGGGCTCTCCTTACAGTCAGGGATCCAAGGCTGGAGTGAGACCCTGGACCTTTGTAACCAGGCACCCCATATATGTAATAAAGTGACATGGAAGGATAACGTAGCTTCAGGTTTCTAAAATTAATAACATGGGACCGTTTGGACAACTGAGGGTTCATTGGAGGAAGGGGTTTTGTGATGGAGTAATTGTCAGTCAGAGACACAAATCAATCTGGGGTAACAGAAATTTGGATAATTGACACTGTGTTCTTTCTGCATTTCCATGTATCTGTACCTTTCTCCTCTGACTTACCAGTCAGTCCGCTGGAATAGAATGAAAAATGAGAGGCGACGAGAAAGAAAGGAGAAGAAATTGCTGATTAGTAGTCACTTTTGTGTTCATCCTCTTAGATGTAAATACCCAGAGCCTCCTTTGAACGATTGGGATGAGAAGGATTTTGCTCCAGCATCCAACACTGGATGGATGTTCATATCTGATTGCTGTAAATGTAATTGTCACTAATTAATTTACCTTTGAACATCTCAAGGTCCAGGGCAAAGACAGATAAAAGAAGTCTATGATTTATTCTCGCATCTTAGATGAAAACAGCCCTTTCTTCAAGGGCAAAGAACTCACTACTAAACACTTGTTAAGGGCTTGGGATTTGAACCTATGGGATTGTTCTGTCAGTTTAATTGTCATTCATATGCAAAAAACAGCACAGTTCTTGAATTTAAAAAGCTCACAGAGATTCATTCTTCCAGGAGACACAAGCCTATAGAAACGTATATTCTCCATAATGGGTGTTGCATATGAACTGACTCTCGAGCTCTGAGTTTGCACACAGGGAAGCAAACATGCTTCACATTCTTAAGCATGGAGCTCACAGTGCAAAATAGGGATAAAGTCCTCTTTCCAAGCGGAGGCACCCATGATGCTCCCAGGCCAGTTGCAGCCACCTGTTGTCATCACACGTGTGAGTCCCATGCCCTGCTGTGCGCCAGGCAGGGCAGGCTGGGCTGGAGCCACAGACCACAGACACCACATGCGGCCCGGGCTTTTCTGAGTTAGAGTCTCTCCACGTACTATTTCCATGTAGTGAGTGTGCGTGTGTGTGTGTCTGTGTGTGTAAACTATACCTGGCAACAATTTGAAGTAGAGTCAACATTGACATAGAGCACATTCCACAAGATGCCCAGATGTGCTTTCCATCTCTTTTAGTTTTCCTGATGAGAAATATAAAAAGGAAATAGTAAGGAGGACATTTTCAGAGGATTCTAGCACCTTGATCACTGATTTTCTAGCAGCTTTTATTATAAGATAGTTTAGATGTTTAAAAAAAAAAAGCAACCTGGTTGAATTCACTGGGTGACCTATACAATTGAAGATACCATTGAAGGTGATTTTTTTTAATTCCTAAGTATCGCTTCACAGTTTTGTTTCTCTCAAAGTTAAAAGGCAGAGGAGTATAAAATCAATGGTCCTGTTTGATAAGACTACCATGGAATGTCAGGAGAGATCTTATAGATAGTTTAAACATGCCACTGTGAGCAAAGTCTCTTCCCAGGCATCCAGCATGGTGAGTGTTAAGGCCAGGACTGAAATTTAAGATACCTAATTCCTGAACTAGGCTTATGAAGTTTGCTATCATAGGCACGCGTAAATATAATACAACATAATGTAATTAATATAAAATATGAGGTTTTCCTGTAATAATTTCTTTCTCTCTATTCTAACAATATGCCTAGTCCTTAAAATGAGTTGCTGATGATTCAAAAATTAATGGACTATAAGTTTCCAAAAATCATCTGTTGTAATTAATGTTGTTCACTTTAACACTGAAAAGTATGGGAAATAAAATCCTAAATTTAAGTTGGACAAAAATAACTAAAATAGTCAAATTAATTTCAATGGTAAAATGTTACAGTTTTTAAATCAGACAACCATGAGCCATTTTAGGTTTCTGGTTTTTAAAGATACTGCTTTATGGCTACCATTTACATGTATTTTAAGGAAAACGTGTAAGATTGATTAGCATATACATTCTAATTTGAGCTATTATTGGGGAAGATAAATAAGATCGCTTTTGTCTTTTTTTTTTAATGATACAAAGATGGAAGGAGAGTGAAATAGGTTTCCAGGTGCCCTGGGTTATAGTTCGACATATTCAGTCTTTCTCGATCTCAGTTCCAGAATTTGTCAAATGGAGACATTTGGGGTTTTGGAAAGATCAAATGAAATACCACGAGCTAAATCACATAGTAGCCTGAAGAGTGTTGCTGAACATGGGAGTGGTTCTGCTCTCACACTTAAATTTTCTAATGAAGGAAATTTTGATATATGACTTTTAAAAGTTATTATTTCTTACACCTGAAGTCTGTCTGGGGATTTAGTAGGAAGATATTCATCCTGAAGATCTTCTTAATCTGCTCCATGTTAAATGCCTGTTTTCACTGGTCAAAATGTGTGTTTGAAACCACTCTCCAAAAGTAAGCATTAGATCAGAATTTAAATAATGGAGGGGATACTATTACGCACCCTCCTGGAATCATCTTTTATTCTGAAGACAGTGGGGCGTGCACGGTGCAGGAGACATGTGGGGAGAGCCACCAGGAGAGCATATGGTTGGGGTGTCACTTGAAGGGGACATATGGAACAGCATACTCTGCAGCCATCTGTCCCTGGAAAGGGTAGGTAGTTTTCTCAGAGGCAAGTTGTATCAAGTTACAGCTAGCCTGTAGCCACAAATGTTAGCCCTTATGGCAGAAAAAAAAATACTAGAAACAAAAATTCCCTTCTCCCAAATCGAATGTGGGCTGTCACTCTATGTATTGCCAACTGCGAACAGTCTTTCCTTCCTGTCTACTTATTTAATGGGGGATTTCCACTCTGTTACCTTGGGGAAACCTTCTTCATGTGGACATGGGAAGACAGCAAGATATTATTTGTATACTTGTGGACAGAAGTTACTCTCCATTTTAGCATTCTAATTCAGGAAGTGCAGATATCTGTGAAGAAAGTATTAAAATCATAATCATTTCCTTTTAAAGGAAACATAGAAATAGTATTTAGAAATGAAAACTAAAATATAAACATCGTCCCCTTTAGTGTCTTAAATTTATCCACCCAGCAAGGGTCTAGACACTGCTGGACACCCTGGGGGAGAGTGAATGCAGCGTTGAGTCCTGTGTTCAGAAAGCTTACAGCCTAGGAGTGAAAATAAAATACACACATTTATTTAAAAGAATAGGTCATAATTAGAAACTCAATCAACTAACAGTATGCCAGTGTAACAGATTTGGGCCCTTGACTAGCAAGCTCTTTGTTTACATGTCACAAAGTCATACCTTATTTTTAGTGACTTTTATTGTAAAATTAGTAAAATTACTTCATTTGGAGTTCAACCTTTCTGAATTCTTCCAGGCATATAAGTGGTACGAGCTTGGGCACAAGAGGGGCCACTTCGCATCTGTCTGGCAGCGCTCACTCTACAACGTGCATGGACTGAGAGCCCAGCCTTGGTGGACCCCGAAGGAAACGGGCTACACGGAGTTAGTGAAGGTGAGTGTTCACATTGCACCCTCCCTGCATCCTTGCCTGTTTCCTCCTCAGAATTCAGAGAATGCTTCTCGTGCAGAGGAATGTCAGGGAGGAAATAGACTTTATTTCCAGGGACATTTGCAAAAAATATTGCAAAAAGAATCTTTTCATCCCATAAGCCAAGAGTTCAGATTAGGTGGTGAATAAAGGAATTTTTAAAAAAATTTTTTTACTGAAATATAGTTGATTCACAATGTTAGTTTCAGGTGTACAGCAAAGTGATTCAGTTGAACATAGACATACATACATGTATTAACTTTTCAGATTCTTTTCCAATATGTTATTACAAGGAATTGAATATAGTTCCCTGTGCTGTACAGTAGGTCTTTGTTGTTTATCTATTTTATATATAGTAGTGTGTATCTGTTAATCCCAAACTCCTGATTTATCCCCACCCCTCTGCCCTTTCCCCTTTGGTAACCATAGTTTGTTTTCTATATCCCTGTGTCTGTTTTTGGTTTGTAAATAAAACCTGCATAATTTTTTTTAGATTACACATATAAGTGATTTATGTGATAGTTGTCTTTCTCTATCTGACTTACTTCACTTAATAATCTCTAGGTCCATCCATGTTGCTGCACATGGCATTATTTCCTTTTTATGGCTGAGTAATATTCCATATATTACTATAATATTCCATATATATATATATATATATATATATATATATATTCTCACATCTTCTTTATCCAGTCATCTCTTGATGGACCTTTAGGTTATTTCATTCAAAAGATGAAATAATGCCTTTTGCAGCAACATGGGTGGACCTAGAGATTATCATACTGAGTGAAGAAAGGAATTAGTTGAAGACCAGTTCTCAAATATCTTGGCTTGCGGACCCCTTCACACACTTCAGACTTACTGAGCACCCCAAGGACTTTTCTTGTGTGTGTGTGTATTGGAGGTGAGGAGGCGGAATTATATTTATCCATATAATTTTTAGAAATCAAAACTGAAAGAAAATTTTATCTTTTTTATGAATTCTTTGAAAATAAAATAGTAATAATAATTCCATTCTGTGTGAACAGAAATAGCTTTGAAAAGTAATTCCATTTTCAAAACAAAAAAGTGAAGTGAAGAGACAGGAAGTGTTTTCTATTTTTACAAATCTCTTTGATGTCTGGCCTAATGGAAGACAGGAGGGTTCTCACCACGACATCACACATGCACCCAGCGGACATGGAAAACATAGGTTCCTACAAAAATCCGTACCTGAATGTTCCTAGTAGCACTTTTCGTAATAGCAAGAAAGTGGAACTAACCCGGATGCCCATCTAAAAGATAAATGGAGGAAGAGACAAAGTGTGATCTACCTTCACAATGGCAATAAAAAAGAAGATGTACTGAGATACAGGGTACAATGTATGCACGTGTTATGTGGTCCCGTGTATGTGAATGGTCCAGATGGGCAAATCAACAGAGGGAGAAAGTAGACTGGGGACAGCCAGGGCCTGAGGAGAGGGACTGAGGATGAGTGACTGTTCATGCATAAGGAGCTACTTCCTGGTGTGATGAAAATGTTCTAAAATTAGATAGTGTTGATGGTTTCACAATTGTGTAAATCTACTAAAAACCACTGAACCGTGAAAAGTTAATTGAACAGTTTTTGTGGTATGTGAGTTACATCTCGATAAATCAGTTAAAAATGAGAAACTGTGATATATACATTGTATGTTCAAGTATGTTAAAAAAATAAACAGGTTTCCAGGGGTTGATGAAGAACACCTAACTGAACCAGGCAGTACAGTGAAGTTTAGAGCAGCAGCTCCACAGCCATGTTGCTTGGTTTTGTGTGTTTGTTTTGTTTTGTTTTGTTTTTTGATTGAAGTATAGTATATTAGTCTCTGCCCAGGGACCCCTGTTGTTACATGATGTATGGTTTCCTGCATCCCCCTTTCTCTGCTCTTATCTCACTATCTGCCTGCTCTAACACATCCATGTTGCTGCAAATAGAATTTCATTCTTTCTTATGGCTGAGTAATATTCCGTTATATATCTATATCTATATCTATATCTATATCTCACATTTTCTTTATCCATCCTTCTGTAGATGGCAATACAGTGAAGCACTTTTGAGCATCAGCTCCACAGCCACATTCCCTGTTTTTGATTTTTCGGCCCTGCCCCTTACTGGTTCTGTGACGCTGAGCAGCACTTCCTCATGTTTCCATTCATTTCATTATCTGCAAAGTGCCTGTGGAGATGGCCCTTGTTCCATAGCTATTTATTTAATAAGTAAGGAGGAAGTCTCAATAAACATTAGTTATTATTATGATTTTAATTTATGCATTACCTTATTTTCCTAGGAAAATATTTCCTAGTTTCTAAAAATAAGTTGGAAAGCCAATTTTAAATTTTACATATTATCAAAATAACATCACAGCTATCATATTTCATGCCTCCTGTCTGCAATCAGTGTGCTGAGCACTTTCGTATATAATACTTCTCATCTTTACAACAACCCTTCACAATTGGTATGATTGTACCCGCTTCTATCTGTGAAAGTGAGGATGAGAGAAATTAAGAAATTTGACCAAGGTCCCATCTTTAATGGGCCAGGACTGGGGTTTGAACAGAACTCTCCTTGTCCTCAAAGTCCATACCCTCACTGGTACCCCACTGCACCCTCAAAGGTCCGGAGGTCTGCTCTGATATCTCATGCTCCCTTTTTGCCAATTAAGTCTTTATTGCAGAATTCTCCTTCTCAGAGCTTCTTGATTTCAACTCTGCCTGTTTTAAGTTCTGCTTCCTTAAAGAAGACAAGCAAGGCCTGGGCGTTCATCACAGGGTCCCCCGCAGCGTAGAATCTCGGAATCTTGATTTTGTATACATTATGACTTTCAAAAATAAAAAAAAAAGTAATTTCATTTGCCAGTGATGACAGTGACAAGAGCCTGCTGTGCAGGGAACCCGGGGCCCAGGGCCACTTAGTCAACGTTCACTTGCATGCCAAGATATTCTTCCATTTTCAAATTACAGATTTGAATGTGATGGATCTTAGATCACCACTCACACATTAATATTTTAAAATGGAAACCTTCTAGAGGGAGTGGCTGCCACCTTTGGCCAAAATCCTTTTAGAATAATTACCCAGATTCTGGCCCTTACGTAACGATTAACTACCACAGATAGCACGTTTTCATTCAGATTGTTCTCAGTGTGTGTTCCAGTGAGCTGTAGAGTGCAGCTTTCTTGAAGGCAGGGGACAAAGTTCAGTCAAATGTATCAGCTCTGTTTTCTCGTCTTGTTGAATTGCCACTGTTCCCCTTAGTGTGTAGCTTGCAATCTGGCAGTGCTGTGCCCTGGGGGTGTTAAAAAGCCTGTGCAACTTGATGGGGAAAAAAAATGTAGAGAAAACTATCCCAGTAGAGTTTTCTCTTTTAGGCATATTTTCCTTGAAACCGAGTAAATTTTTTGCCCAAATAACAAGTATGAAAACCCTCTGCGCCTTGAGGGTATTTAACATAGAAATTGATAATTTGATAAATTAACAAAGATGGATTAAAATCTTCATTAGGTTATAAATAGAAAAGGGAAGAGAAATCTCTTCAAGTGAGAGAAAAGCCATCGTTATCCTTAAGACTTTTGCTGTTTTTTTTTTTTGAGATCTTCTTTTTGATCCGAATGATTCCATGGCTAATTGAGATGTAAACACGCACACATTGGAATCACTGAACAGTCACTGAGGACCCACAACAGCCAATAGGAGCTGAAGACCACAGTTCCAAATCACGTTTTTCTATTTTTTTTCCCCTGCTGCCTCCCTTTGATCACTGGGAAAAAGGGAAGCCCCTTCATCCTTTTTTGGAGTTTTTCAAAGCAGCTGCTGTAATATAAACATATATCTTCACAATTGAGCTTTCCTTCCTCGTATTGTCTTTTTCTTACAGCTGGAGGAGTGCCCAGTGATACTGGCCAGTGATGTGACCTGGTGCATGAGAATGATTGATTAGAACGATACTCTCTGGCATTGTCCCTCAGTCTGTGGCTTTTATTCGTTAAGAAACCCATTGTGTACGAATAATGTCACCCTGACAAAAATAAGATTTATCCAGAAATACATTTGTGGTTGAACATTTATATCTGTGTGGTTAAATATTTGAATGCTTTCACTGAACTGCTTTTGAAACCAACTGGATTGAGACAGAAGCAAAAATGTCAGATTCACAGTGGAATTAAGCTGTAAATTAAGAGGATTATCAATGTTATAGAAAAAGTATCAGAGTGTAAAGAAGAGCTGAAAGCAGTTTCTTGAGATTAACGTAATAGTTTAATCCTATTTTTCTAAATCAGACTTTCGACTTTGGGATCCCAGTGATGCTTTCACTAAAAATGACAACAAAATGACCACGGGGGTCCAGAGAAGTTACAGAATGTCATGGTTCTGTGATTTGAACATGAACTTTAGAAGCAGATTAGTTTTGCTCTCGGCTCTGACACCTTGGGAGAGTCATTCCCCTATCTGAGCCTCCCTTTCTTTCTCTCCAAATTCAAAATAATTGCCTTAGTTCCTCCTCTCCGGCAAGGCGCGAAAACGCAACACAACAAAAGCCCACCTTTGTGGATGCTCCTGCGTGTGTTTAAATATGAGCCCTCACTCAGTCTCCACGCTCTGCTAGGGTCACAGGGTGGAATCTGATGCCGGTTATGGCCACATATCAAAAGGATGAAATATTTGAAAGGCTTTGAATTGTTTCAGAATAAAAAGTCATTTTCTTTTTCGAAGCAAAATTGATCAGTTTTCAGCATTGGTCTGTTTAAAAAAAAAAAAAAGCCTAAAAATTGGCTTTATCTCTGACCGTCCTGGGGAGCTTGCGGTACAGTGTCTGACTTACCGCACAGCGCGCTGCGTTGCAGGATGTGCCTGGAGGTGGGTACACCATTGCAGTTCCAAAATTATTAATCAAGGACGTCATGATATATATCTTAATATACACACACTCTGAGGGATGTGCTAACTA